CAGATGCTATATCTTTTGATAGCAGGCACCATCAGCTTTCTTCACCACATTTGCTTATGCACCCATTTGTCTTCAGCGATGTGTCAGGAAGGTGAGCATCATGGAATGCTGGTTTAATAGAACACAGTGTTCTTGCATTGAGGGAGTACTTGAGTGGAGACCCAATGTCCATCTGCTACCTTAATTCTAAATCTATAAATATATGCACATAGATCTATTTCCCATCCTCATATATAAGTAAATTTACATATGTACACGCCTTTATTTAGAGCTCTATAAATGCCATTTGCCTCCTAGCTCTTTCTTCTATTTCCTTTTACTTTCCTCTTGTCCCACTATCATGCCAGTCTTCATTTGTGCTTCAGTAATTCCTCTCAGGATCTTTTGATACCAGTTCCTGACCCTGTCAGCACCTCGTGATCACACAGGCTGGTACGCTTCTTCCAATGTGAGGGTGAAGCGTTACAGAGCACACCACCCGTTTTGCAGTCAACCATTCATACGCCTTCTTGCGATCCTCACCGGCACCATCTCTCATCCCACATCCTTCCTGTGCTTTCAGTTTCCATTTCTCCTTTTCCACCACCTTGACTTTATCCATGGGGGGGGGGACTGCCCTTTGGACCTCATGTGGTTGATTACGCTACAGCATGCACAGCACACTGATGATAGCATGCTCTATATAGGCTGGTGCACTGTCTGGCTGAAAGCAAAGCCGCAGGGCTGAGTTCAGTTCCGGACTTGAAGGGTGACACAGGGCCGCAGTCTCTGGGGTACACCAGAGTGTACCAGCAGTCTCTAGCTCACCAATGAACTTGATCTCTTGTATGATTTTAAGTTTTGTTCCAGATTTCCTCCCACTCTATCCAGGTCTTTCCAACGTGGACTTTTTCAGAGCAGTTGTTGGTGGTGGCCGGGCACCATCTAGTTCTTCTGGTCTCAGGGTCATGGAGACGGATGTTTGCTTGTCCCATTGGTCCGTTGGACCAATTGTTTCCATGCATCTTTGATTTTCATCCTCCTGTTTTCTCTGGACAGGGAGAGACCAGTCGTGATGTCTCAGGTGGCTGCTCACACCCTTTTAATATACCAGTCGCTGCTCATCAGAGCAGGACAGTCTTTGTGGACTGGATGAGGCCAATTGACGTTGGTGTCCCCTGAGACTGTGGTCCTGAGCCCCTCAGGCCCAGTGACTCATTCCCTCAAGGTACTTGGTTACGTCTAGGAAGTTTTCATAGCTTTATGCTCCATCACGTTTGTGGCTGTATTTACAGCAAAGGTACTGTATACACTCGAGTTTAAACCGATGCACCTAATTTTACCACAAAAAACTGGGGGGCTTTTCCAGCATACCAAAATGTGCTGAAAAAAACTCGGCTTATGCTCAAGTATATACGGTTAATATGCATGGAGGCATCAAACCTGTATATCTGTGAGAATTCTCCCCCACACTTGTTCATCCTGTGTCTCTCCGTGCATCAATTTATAGACTACCATAATTGCAGGATTACATCTTGTGTTAGTCTAGGTAGACTAGAGAAACAAATTCATAGATACTCCTATGTGTATAAGAAAGAGCTTTATATACCAGAGCAATTGAATATTGAGAAAACATCCCAGCCCAGTCCAGATCAAGTCCATGAGTCTGATATTAGCCCATATGTCCAATACCAATCTATATATTCCACTTCAGACTTACACAGCCATGCAATGGCACCAAATGCAGGAAGATCACAGGCCAGTGGATGGAAAGTCTGTGGATCCCATGGCAGTGGAAGCATCTCAGTGCTGGCAGGGGTCTCCACGTGGCTTCTCCAGCTCCAAGTCTCTAGCATAGCTCCATGTGTCTTGCCCGCAGGAATGACTCACAGGGAGTGAGCGTGTGTCCCACCTCCAGTGAACTATTTATCTCCTTAGGGCCTCCAAATGAGGTCATCAAGCTGCGACCTGATCGACAAGCTAAACTCCACCCCTTCACTCTGAAGTCTCGAATTGACAACAGGTGATGTAACTACCACACGTATGTAACAGTATTTCTCTCTGTTGCTTTAAGGGTTGCTATGGGTTGGGAT